AAAAAATCTGAATAAAGCTGTTTACAGCCTGAAAAACAGATCACGTGCCGAAAAAAACAAAAAAAATGATCAAAAAATGACAAATTTGAAAAAAAATCCGTGAAGGACACTGTGCAACCCGTGTTCTTCACGGACTCGCCGATTCCGCACAGTGAATCGGCGAGTCACTGTGCGGAATCGTCCGGTTCTCTCTAGAACCGGACGATTCCCGGTTTTTGAACCGATCCGGTCCCTTTTTCATGAATTCCGAGTCGAACCGGGCGAGTCCGGTTCGACTCGGCGATTTTTTAAACGCTGATTTTGAGTGATCGAGGACCCAAAAATCTGCAGAATCAAATCTCTTAAATATGCGCCCTTAAAATGCCATCTTAACGGGCATTGTGGAGAGTCCATTTGGGCATTGTGGCCCATTCAATGGATTAAAGATCAGAGAAGGAGCCCCAAATCCATTTTTATATGGTTTGCAAGGGTCTGGAATGATTATTGGGTTTCAATCCATTTAAAAAGTGGAAATCTAAGGGGTAGGCCTCAAGGTGTTTGCATGAGGGAGGGGCCTCATGCCAACGTCATCCTTTATTTATTTATGGGTTTGGTTTGTATAAGGTGTCAACCTTAAACAATCAAAATAAGGCACACTACTAGATTTTGCTAAAAAGATGTTTTGGTATCGTAAACCTAACAGCCTAAAAATCTATTTTTACAGCTAATTATAAAATTCAAAGCTTCAAATATTTTGTAGATTGTGCATATCCAAACTTAAAATCCTTTTTTTTGCTTTTCCCATGTTCGTACATCTCAAGACCGAAATGATCATTTGTAGGGCTTTTCAAACTCGAAACAACCTTTTTGAGTGGATTTTTAAAATGCATATTACTTCTACATTATATAAACTTTTTCCTTTATTAATTTATGAAAGTCAGATTATATTCATATGTGCATTGTTCCTCATATTTAGAGAGTCCACCCTGCTTGTACAGACTTGTAGTTGAGAGTTCCTATTACTTCATCCACGGTTCCTGAGTGATTCTTAAAATTTACCATTTAAAGAATGCTTTCTTATGATCAAATACCTTCTTGTCTTCCACCTGCATTAAAGGAGTATCAATTCTGGATCATTGAATGAAAAGCAATAGCTATTATGGACTAACTTAACATAAGTCTCTTGATGGCTAGGACAATTACAATCATCATTATTGGGATACAAGTAACATTAAAAAAAAAAACATTTATTGGGGAAAATGTTTTCATGCAGCAGTGGTTGCAAGCGGCCGCAATCCGCTGTGAAATTTGATAAAACCGGATGGCACAAGTTGTGCTGACATGCATGGCATCAGCACATTTGGTGCCTCCTGTTGTTGTCGGAAACACATGGCTTTGTAGCCGCATACCAAACACAGTCGAACCAAAGCTGCATGGCAATGTGTTTCATGGCACTTTTTGATTGGTGAAAGCCGCATCTTTGGGAGCTTCCAAAGTGGTGGCTTCCAAAGGGGAGTATGGAAGTGGTTGCTTCTCTTTCCTTACACTATTTTGGAAGCCGCATGTAGCTTCCAAAATAGTGTAGCATTCCCCATTATCAAATAAGAGTGCTACAGCTCAGATGGCTTCAAAAGCCCTGCTGCTTCCCGTTATTGATACCCACGCTTATTGCTGCGGTCTTTTCTTATCTTAGGTTTATGTGAAACTTTATCTGTGATCTAACATGCCAAAGAGTTTTTTTTACAATTGCAGATGAAGCTTAAGACCATGACCGCACCGTGATTGTCAATTAGTTGGGAGAGAGAATCCAAAATGTTGAAATCCATCCTCTAGTCGTCCAAAAACAATTTGCATAAGAGAAAAGGAATTCGAGGACTAAAAATGCAAATCTTGACTGGCATATTAACTTCTGAAATGGATTTTAAATTTTTGCCGATATTAGAGATTTTCAAAAGCTACAAATCCATTATCAAGTGATGAAAATGAATTTGTTTGTATCTTGGAGAGCTTTTATGTTTTCAATCCATAAAAATGATGGAATTTCTCCAGGGGTACAACTGCAGTAGTATAGTGAAGCCAGTCCTATGTTTAAGTACATGGGGTTTTCTTTGGAAAGGTTTTTCTACTTGAGAACACTCAAATTACACAAAACGAAAAGAGACAGTAAATTTACTTTGCTTCAAATGTCATGCATCATAAAAGATCACTTGACCAATTTGTAGCAACAACACTTGACCCACCAGAAGTAAATAGACCTCAGACATTGCACTAAAATGCCACTCCGAAATACAAATGAAATCAACAGACAAATATATTTAAATTTTGTATCAGTTTTTGACAGTGACAAAGAAGTAATTAGTAAACCATATGCACCAACAAATGAAATTGAATTTTCAGGGGAAAAGAAAGTCATTAAGGGATCTCTTCTCTAATGATCGAGATTTACACTTTCACGTCACAAAGCAATAAGCAGTGTAGATTGACTAGATGCTTTCAAGAAAAGAACCCATCCATAATTATCAAAAAAAGACAGAAAGCACACATCTAAATATCTACATACTTGAGCAAAAGTCAAATGTGGAACCAATTACATACCAGGGATGGAGCAAATCATGGGGACAGGAGAACATGGCAGCTCTGTAATAGGACGTAGCTAAGAAACGTCAGTCACCATAGCTTATATAGACCTCAAGTATCTCTAGGTAATGTACATATCTGGTTTTGCATCCATAACATGCTCAAAAGGAAGCACTTGTAGTAGATCAATCAGATTTTCCCTTCTCCCATCTGAATTTTAACACCACCATCTGATTCCTCCAATAACTCCCTCTCTTGACAGCTGATATCATCCCCTTCAACTAGGTACAAAAGTACTTTTGGTTCCTAGATCAAAGCCTCATGAACAATCTAGTAAAGGCCTTGTTTGTTTTTTTATTCCTGGCATTATAGTCCTCAAAATACTCAGAAATTGTCTATATTTGCTACAAAGCATTCTCGTAGAGGTGCTCCATTAAATCGGAGACGATGCTCCACAAAATAGCTAGCAGACAACCCATCTTCATAAAACCTGAAAACCACTCCTCTGACAACTTACTTCAGTTTTTATCATCTGAGCCACTCTTTAACAATGGCCTCTTCCACAATTTTGTTGTATATATTCTAATGGTTAACCTTCCCTCTTGAGAAGAATCTACTGAAACCTCGTGTGTTTTTCTCAGGGGTCGGAACTGAAGAGGAGGAAGAGGAAGAAGACCTAGTAGGCCTGTGTTTTGGGCGCTTTGGGTTTATGGGAGATCTTGAAAGAGGGCTTGCTTCAGTATCTGATGAAAATTGGGGGATGGTGTAAGGGTCCAAGCGTGACACAAACTCAATCCTAGGTACATCGGATGGACTATCTTCCATCGCCACCTGTGTCAAATCTACAGAATCTTGCTCCATTACGTTCTGACTATGGTGCTCGTTTTCAGAGAATGGAGAACCTGTTAGCTCATTTGGAGAGGATCTCAGGGCCTTCAGCTGCCTTCCAAGAAGAAATATTGTTTCCTGGCATTCGGCAAGCTTCTCAGCTGCAGCTGCTATCTCTTTTTCCTGCATTGAGCCAGATTGTTACATAATTTTTAGACAGTGCACATAAACTGCTGAAGATTTGTAGCATGAAGTTCCAAGAGAATGCAGTGGAACATGGTACCAATGGCAAAGAAAGGGAGGTTAAGACAAAAAATGGTAGTGAGACACAGATGGTGCGGGTAACCAGAAGGCCATCTAAAAAGGCATAAATTGGGATGAGACGAAACCATGCCTGGGGATTCAAAGTAGTGAGGATAGAACAACTATTAATAAGGTTGATCGAGGAATTTCACGAAGATATCAGTATTTGGGGATATAGGAGTGTAGATTTTTGGCGATTGTACCCATAGACGGTTACTTTCGGATGGTCACGGATGGTGGAGAATGAGGTTTCTTAGAGTGAGAGTGAGTAGAGCGAAGCTAAAAGGGAAAGCAAGACAATTCTGTCATAGAAAAGCGACAACAAAAAGTATGTAATAAGAATGAGGTAATTACAAGGGCAGAAGGGGCATTTCAGAAAGGGATACAAAGAGCACGACAAGGGTCCCTGCCATGCTCAGGTAAGGAGGAAGGAAAGAGAACTTTTGGAGCAAAAATGAAGGTTTTGAAAGTGGAGATGGTAGGACACTCAGCAAAATTATTTTGCATGGTGGGGCAGTTTAAAACGGGTGTCAGCTATACAAGAAGGATGGGATCAGGGTTGAGAGTAGTTTGAATAGAAAGTGGGGCCTTTCTGTTAGGTGTTTGAACTTTGATAGGACCTACATATATGCATTTGTTTATTAATGTTTCATTTTACTGCCTTGCAAGAAACTATATAAATAACATGAAAGGACTGAAAAGACACTATCCCAAACTAGTGCTCCTTATGTTCAGTGAAAGGACAGAAAGATAGAAAAAGACTGAAAAGGAGCAGCTAGTCACGATCTTTACTTGTTTGGCCTTGACGTATTGTTCTGTCGGACAAGATGAGCAAACTGCACACTCCTCATTCCTGCAAGTGGTAAAGAAATAAACAGAAGATCACATATCAGAATCAGTACCCAAATTATCATAAAAAAGTCATCAGTATATTGCTATGAAACAAAAGCTGTGAAAGTTTGGTACACCACTGGGTGGTACATAGGACATCACCCTTTGTTCCTGATGACAGATGGTAGAGATATACTGTACCCAGGCAAATATCCATAATTAGGAACTATAATTAACTTCTACCATCCATCTTTGGGAATGGACATGGGTGTATAGTATATTTTCCCATGAAAGTTTACTCACAAAACTGGAAACCAACATGCGGATTGAGAAGAATTTATGAGAATAATTGAAAGAATATAAAATTATGCCAATTGAAGTGTTCCATAGGGCAAAAATATCAACAAGAAAAAAGCTTTATTTTTGCTAACCTCTGAATCTGCTCCTGAAGATCCATGCATTTTGTGACAGCTTCCTCGCAAATCCTCTTCTCTTCCTGGAGTTCAGAGTTCAAAGCCTCTGCGTTTTCTCGAAGAAGTTTCACTTCATCTTCCACTTCTTTCGCACGCAATTCTAGGGTTCGATAAGACTCTGCCATGCATTTCAGCTGCGTCTCAACAAGGCTCTTTGAATTCTGACAAGATTCAAGCTCCAGTTTAAGTTCAGAGAGAAGTTGCTCAGTTTCCACAAGTTGGGCTTTAGTGTGCTCCAAATTCTCATTGCACATAACAAAATCCCTCGCCATGATGTCCTTCTCTGACTTCAATTGCTCAATTTCTTCCTCCAAATGCTTGTGTAGTTTGTCCACCATTTCTTCTTGGAGAGCCCCAGAACCCAAACATGATTGAGATGAAAGGGTAGAATCACTTAAACATCTCTCTCCTGACAAACCCATTTCAGCCACCTTATCTTCTTTTGACCCCAACTTGCCTGCAGCTACATCATTGCTTTCCCCTTCAAAGCTGATTTTATTGAGCATCTCAAAGAAAAATACCCCAGCTTCAGCCATTATGTGAGAAAGATCAAAAATAAATTCCTTCACATCCATTCTGCCAGACAGAACCTCATTAACAGAGATAGAAAAATCCTCAATACTTTTGCTCAATCCGTTCACATTATCAAGCCTCTCCTTCCATATTCTTGACGCCTCTTTACCCAGTGATTCTACAAATGTTTGAATCTTAGAGATGGCATCAGTGAACTCTGATTCTAGAGTACTAGTACATGGCTTACTATCACAGAGAGGAGGACAGTTTCCAATCTCAAGAGTCTCCCCAATGGTTTGAGAAGCAGCATCAGTCGAAAGACTGCCATCTGAGAGACAACCACCTGAATTGTGACGAGGCAAATTGTTCTGAAATTCCTTTAAAACACATCTGATATTCTCAAGAATCTTCTCCATGCCAGTTCCATTAGCACGGGATTCAAAGATCATGGCAATTCGTTCTCGAAGTTGGGACAAGGACCAGTCATTGGTATCGGGTTTTGGGTTATTTTGATCAGTCTCAGTTTGAAGTTCCTTTTCAACGGAAGAAACCTGGGTGGAAGCGAGCTTCTCCATCTCTAGAAAGTCATCTATGAGTTCAATCTGTAATTCTTTGTTACCCTTATCCATATCTTTCTCTCGCTTGAATTGGGAAAGCTCTGAGATCAAAGCAGAGGCCCACGACTCTGCACAACTAGTTTCATCATCAATTCCGTCCTCAGACATGGAGGCCAAGCTTGGTGGGTTACTATTTGTATTTTGGCTCATTGAACCCTCCATGGACACCTCAGTGTTCATGGGGTTCTTTTTATGATTTAGGGCTTGTACCTGTGCTTCCATGCTCTGAAGCTTGCTCGCTGTTTTAGCACACATGTTTCTTGCTGCCTGAAGTTCACTGTTACGCTTTGACAAAGCCTCCTTTAGCATCTTGGTTTCTTCCTCCATTGCCAAAAGGCGAGCAGTAAGGAACTCAGTCTCTTTATGACCATGTTGAGCATGGTCAAGGGCAAATTCAGTAACTGGGGCAAGATGGGGGCTAGAGTTTTTTACAGGAGATCGTCTTAGTTTGCTTTCTCCATAATCTCTGCCGAGGTTATCGACTTCGAGCTTCATTTGGGCTAATGCAGCAGGGCCTGGCAGTTTCTTCCTGACAAGTCCACGAAGCCTCTGGCACTCTGCTTCCAATTTGGCTATCTTCTTTACGCCCTCCAAATGTTGTTTGTTAGCCACTTCTGCTGATCTTAGACCCATGTTCTTCTCTTCATTTCGAATTTCAAGCTCCTTGGCCACTATGTTGAGCTCATATTTAAGGGAGTTTATTTCCCTTTCATAAGACTGAATGTTGACTTGAAGAACTTTAATTTCAGCCTCAGCTTGAGTTTTTTCTTCATTTATTTTCATAAGCATGCCTGCGCGCTCTTGAAGGGATCTCGTTAGAGTATTGTTCTCAGCAGAGGCCCGAAGAAGCTCTTGCTCCAAACCAACAATTCTTGCATCGAGTTCAGATTTGATTTTTTCCCATTGCCTGGTCTTTGTGGTGATAATTTCATGGAGTTTTTGTTCATTATCTTCCTTGACCTGCCGGATTTGCCTCATGCATTCCTTGAGAGCACTATCTAGGTGGGCTGCCCGATCATCAGATGTAAGCTTCTCCAGTGTCAATAGTTCAAGTTGTTGTTTCAGTGTCAGTGCTTCTGCTTCAGCCTTCTCCCAACCTGTAAGAAAGGGGAACAAACACTCAAGTATATATATACAGAAGTCAAAACACAGAAAAAGCAGACCAAGGAAAAACATCCAAAAGCACTGGAACTCAAAGATTGATTGGAAGTTTATAACTTTCTCTCCCCTTCCCCCCCCACCCTCCTCTTCTTCCCTCCGTCTCTCTCCTCCAGTCTCTGTTTTATAAGAATAACTACTACCTCTCTCCAATGAATGCCTATAAGACATATCACTGAATTCAAGACATAAAGAGAACAACAATCTGCCATTACAAGACCAAACAGAATTGCAATCACATGTTACTTATATATCATATATCAGCTCAATAAAGCCATCAAATAGCAGAGTTCAATCACCCCGTTAAGAGTACTTTAACACTAGTTATATCAGCTCAATGAGGGCCATCCAATAATAGAGTTGTATCACCCCATTAGAAATACTTCAGTATATTATTGCCAAAATGCACACAGTTCGCCAAAATGCACACAGTTCTATAATTCTTCATGAAAGTGAAAAATTGACAGCTTTCTTGAAAGTTCTAAATTTAATTGCAATAATAATACCTGATACAGCTTCTTCTGCAACTTTAGCATGTTGTTTAACTAAATTCTCTTTTGTTGTCACCTCGGAAACAGTTGAAGCAAGCTTTTCATTCAGTACCTTCACTTGTTCTTCCGCTTCAGTCAGCTGATTATACGTCTCTTCGGGAATTTTGACATAATTTACTTTTTTGGAAGTATCCTGCTGGAAGAAATCATATTATATGCATAAGAATAAAATTGGTTTAAAAAAAAAACGAGACAATTTTATGTTCATAGTACATAATTACACACATACAAATAAACCTACATGCATTTGTGTGTGTGCAAAACTAGCAACTCTTTTTTTTCATTCTTCATCAGGACTCATGGGAAAAGAAGATGCTTCCAACCATACCATCTTATGTGACAAACAGCCATATAATCTTATTTGCAAGCATATCTATCAATGGTTGTATATCGAATTTCAGGGGTGCCCGCTACTGATGTTTCTACAACCCCAATGATAGATGGGTATTCATCTTGTTATAAAGAATCGAAGCCCCCACTATGATTAGACGATAAAAGCAAGGAAGCTTTTTAGCAGGTCAGAAACATATTTTAAAAATTGTTAAGATTCAGTTTCACATATTTGTTGCAATCTTGTTTTTCTAGTGTTTTATGCATGATGTTCCCAACTCGTTCCTTTCTCTTTGCAATTTTTTCTTGTCGTATTGTTCTTTCCCGCTGTACACTTCTATGTATGTGTGTGCATTGGGCAACATGATGCATACTCTCTTGCTTGATCAAGAATATGACAATGTTACTTATTTTCCGAAAAAAAGAAAAAGAAAAAAAAGTAAGGAAAAAGGAGAAGAAGCTTACAAGTTCAGCAATTGTACAAGTTAAGATAAAGAGTCTTTTCCTCTAAAGAGTCACTGAACCTTTTGATCAATCTTTTGATCACGATTCTCAGAAAGACATCCATGGCCCAGCATAAGAAAGAAGAAATAACCTACAAGATGTGCAATAAAAGTTTTAACAAAAGAGGAAAGAGAAATAATTTGCTCACCTCATCACCGTGATTTTCTGATGAATTAGCAACAGGTGCAGCAGCAGAATCTGTGACAGAAGAACTCTTGTCGGAGCTTTTCTTCCTCCATGGCCAACCACGGCGGTCCATATTGAACTTAACTCAGCAGCTATGAAATTTGGAGAAAGAACACCAAAAAAATCAGGATATAAAAACATAAAGAGGCTTAACTTTTGCAATTCCACATGATTCATAAAGTCAATAATCAATATGCAAACCAAAAGGTTTGGTTCCTAACGTCCAATACAAAGCAGTATAAGCATGCAAATTCTCAATTTCTCACTGAGAAGAAACAATAGGATATTATTTTTTCAGTAAAAAATAAAATACTTTCGAAATAAACATAAACCACAAAGAGCACTTGAAGCATATAGCAACAACTTACAAAGATGAAATATGAAACAGTGAACCCCTGCACCCAAATCATTACCAGATCCTTAAGACATCATAAATGGATTGTACTCTGATTTCCTTTGTAAATCAGATTTTGTGCATTTGTAATCCAATGCCGTCAGATAGTGAAACGAAATTGTCAACGATAGTAAGAAGGCAGAAGCCAAAACCACAGCATTTGTGTCAACAGCAGAAAATATGAGGAAGACCCACTGGTCGTAAGCTTTGGGCTTTCTTTGGGACTTTCACATGATGGATAAAAGAAAATCAAAACTGAGAGGTCATGGGTGTCCAGCCAGTTTGGGAAGAAGTGAAGTGAATGAAGCTAGCGGGTTGTATTTGCAAATTGAAGGGATAAGACCCATGAGCCTAAAAGTTCACTCAAGACATTTCTCCAACACCAGGGGCCAGAGAACAGGGACCTCAAAAGAATGTCTCAACAATTTCTAGGAAGGGATGGGCTGGAGATCAGGTTCAATACCATTTTCATTATTTCGGCTCCTAAGATTGGAAGTGTTGAACATCCTTTTCTAGAAGGGGAGCAAAAGTAGTGAGGGGAGGAATACGTGATGCTTTGATCTCTTGGGCCCTCATCCTTGACAAATTTCAAGGGATCACAGTGCATCTGTTAGTACATAAATGGAGGACAAAGCAAAGTGGTGAATTCCAAGAAACCCTTTACAGATCCTAACTAAAATGACGGTTCAACAGGTTGCAAAGCATTTGAGGGAAAACAGTATTCTCAAGTACAGTATAAATTAGGAGGTCTTCACAAATCAAAAGGGCCGTGCAATTTTACAATGGAAGAATCAGTATTTAAAAATGCAGACTGGTCGTTTGAACCAATCACCCATAGGTAATCAAATCGACCAAACTCAGCAAGCCGGCTCAGCGGCATAGGCCAATTTAAAAAATCAATAAATAAATAAAATTATTGAATTTTGGTTGTTTAAAAAGTTAAAACAAGGTTTAGGACTCTCAAATCAAACTCAAAACAATGTTTTTATTACATTAAAAATCAGAAAAATATTATTTTGGGGTGAATTAGTCTGAGTAATGGTCCAGTGAGCAACTCAGACCGGTCACCCACCTGTTCCGGTTCAAACCGGAAAAACTGGCTGATCCAGTCCAATTTTTGAAACCTGGAAGAAATAAAATCTTCTTTTAGCAATCTTAGAGCAGTTTTACGGTTCTCTTTGGGGACTATCCTTTGTAACCCACTAAACAAAAGATACAACATAGAGTGTACAACCAAACTGAACCTTAGACACAATACCTAAAACCAGGGTTCAAGAATCAGATGGGATCAGCGAGTTTTCCTGGATTGAACCGAATCGATGGGTGACCAATACGAGTCCCTCACTAAATTGGGATTTCGACCAATTCAACCCCATATTTATGGGTTTTATGTTTGTTACATTAATTTGAGAATCCTAAACTTTTATTAAACTTTTTAAACAACCCAAATTTCAATTATTTTAATTTTTTAATCTTTTAAATTTAATAATTTTAAATTAACATTTAAAAAAAATTGGCCAGCAGATCCAACCTGGAATCAATGGGTGACTGTTTCGACCCCACTGGTCCGCATGTTTAAATACTGAGTCAAACCTAGTCCTCCCTGCAGAAGTAAGTGATCCCACAATACCTCCTCTCAGTTACTCAACCCCTTATTTGATAATCTTCTGCGAGTTAACCCTTTCATCTAAGCAAATAATCTCACAAGGACAACATGGAGTTTCCTACTCATTGTAGGCTAATTAGAACTTGCCTAATTGGCTCATCTTTTATTCTTGTGAAGTATAGTAAAGCTCTCTAGAATTTTAATCAATTCCACGACCAAAGACATCTATAACAAAAGGTACAGATATCTTGGAGGAATTCATAGATGGTAGGTAAAGGGCAGAGATCACATATCACATTTTACCTTATCCTTAGAGCCCACAGCCAGGGAGCCCATCAGTAGGTAGAGAGGTCCTTTACCATTCAAAAAAAAAAAAAAAAGAAGGTAGAGAGGTCCTTTCCTTTGGGGACACCACCTACTTGTTTGACACATTCTGCACATAATTTTCTGCATATCTACAGCATTAGAGTAATTTCATGTGTTAGCTATCAAAATTAAGTATATATATGGATATGCTTGTATGTGGTTACACATCCAAACAGGCACATGCATCATTCATCATCAGTAGAAATGTAACTGAAAGAACTACGAAAACACTACATCTCAAGTTCGATCCCTACCACTGACCAACCCAAAAAAAAAAGGTACCTCATAACTGGATAGAAATGCGGGTATGATAACATATGAATACGTATTTAGAGATTTATAGAACATGAGTTTTATTAATATGTACTCCAGAACTTGTCATATATAATTATAACAAAAACATGCAGTGTGTAAGTAACCAGCAGAGCACACTGAGCATGAAAACATCGCAACTGCTGTGTAAACAATAGACAAAAAGCAGAGCCATCCATATTACAGAATAATAAGTAAACAAAAAGAAAAATACACTACATGCACAATATTAGCAGAATAATATTTTGAAAATATAACCAAATAATGCTCAACCGTACTACAAAATATATATCAAGAACAAATAAAAACAAGAATCACATGTCTAAATAATGTGCAAGCAACAAGTTTCCACCCTTCGTCAGTGGCACGTAATATATACTAAAGGACCTGGTTTCTGTGCGGCCAAGCCAACATATGTAGAAATGCGGGCCTTTTAATAAATCTATTTTTGAGATGGATTTTAAGACTTATTTTTTAAGGACATGTAACATCTAAAATGGAGATCGTGAATATGAAAAAATAAATAAATTTTAAAAACTGAAAATAATAATTTTAGTAAGAAAACATTTGGACCGTTAGTTTCCATTGTTTTTAGATCGAAAACCTACTTGCATCCATCTTTAAGATGGATGCTTTACACTTTCTGGACAGCATATGTAGAAATGCGGTCCAGCACGCATGAAACAAATTTCCTATACTAAATGACATGTATTGTATATTAGAGAGAAAGTGGGAGGGAGGGAGAAAGGCTCTGCTTGCTAAAATGCACACGAAGGAAGGGGACGGTGGATGCATAAACAAAATTATTTCATTTTCAGGAAAAAAAGAAAAGACAAGAGGCTGAATAAAGGAGATTTCTACATTTACCTCACCATGCAATGTAAGATTACCATTATCACCAATTACATTTTACAAAACTGGAAGTGCATGAACATCCATTCACCACAATTGAGTTCGGAACCCATGTTGCTCTCAATTTTTAATACCCATAAAGATACATAAGAAAAAAAAGGAAAGGTATATGGAAGTGAGGAAGCCAGGAGACTTCTTCGATGGAAAAACTCAGCCAAACAACTCGAGTCAGCTGATTTCAACTAGTCACACCAGAGCTTCTTCTCAGTCGAATTTTATCACAGATTTGATCTTAGATCAGTTCTATAGAACCAATTTCGCATTCTTTTTTATTTGTTTTAACACTAAATAAGTAAGTGGCATGGTGTTCTGTAACAATATCTGCTGCTCGTGTGTAATGGACCTAACTTTGTCTTAAACATGTAAATAAGGAATTATCAACATTTCACCAAATTATCATAACACACCAAAAAACTCTCCCAAATCTAATGAAATTAATCTTATATCATATCAGATAAAATGTTTCATGCACACAAACAAAAAACCCACATTCCAGAATATATAACATGCAGCTTCGATGAATTCACTATTTCTCTCTCTAATCTCTATGATCCAATTTTCTGATTTCGCATTCAATCTTAGCAAGACCAATCCAGAAACCCACCTCAACCTCGAAAAACAACAACAACCACTCTCCCTCTCTATTGTTCACAGGAAACACAGATCCAAGAGAGAAACCACAAATGCGAAAGCATCCGACATATTTTTATCTCATCAAAAACAGAGATCAAGCACCTAGCACGCCCTAAACTTCATGCTTCTATAGCTGCATCCCCTGCATTCTCACTCTAAGAAAATAACTTATCCTCCTCTCTTTCTCTCTCTACAATACCCTCCACTTCCACGCTCCATATGAACCACCCACAACTCCATACTTCATCAATGGCATTCCCCCGAAAGAAGCTCATGAGATTACACGGAGATATTTAACTTTTACTGGGAAAACCCAAAAGAGAACAGTCATCAGGAGAGACAAACAGGAGCCCAACATAAAAAGAGATAGAAAACAAAGATACCCAATAAAGATCTAAGCACGGTAATGCACCCATTTCAGCATCAACAATAAGACAATGGAGAAAACAAGTACAGTGAGATGAGAGAGAAAATGCAATGCAGCTTCATAAAACCATAATGGGGTCATGCTCCGCTTACCTGTTACAAAGTTGGGATTGTGGAGAGAGAAACTTGGGGGTTGCAGAGAGAGAAGCTGAAAGGTTTGAGGGGAATTTGGATTGAAGAAATGGAAGAGGAGAGTGTGAATGCAGATGCGGTAACTGACCCAGGAAAGTTTTAGAGAGAGAATGCTCTCAAGAAGGAGAAAGTTTAGAGAGAGAAAGAGGAATTAATATCGTGTAAAATATTCGGCGTTAGGTGTCACAAAAGCTGGCCATTAGAAAAAGCACACACAAACACCTCACACTGTTACTATGAAAAGCTTATTGCAACGTATAATATTATGAACATCAATATGATTTTTTAATTTTAAAATTTGTGAGAAATTATTAAAAAACAAATTTATTCTGAAAACTGGGTAATTACTAAAGTGACCCATATCTTTTAGGAAATGACGAAAGCGGCTAGAGTTAATGTGATTTTTAATTTGAAAACATTGTGAGAAATTAGTAGAAAACAAATTTATTCTGAAAATTGGGTAATTACTAAAGTGACCCTCACAATTATGAAATGACAAAAGCCAGCTTTTCTAAACCTTAATGTCTCAAATGTACGTTTTTTATTTCCCCCCAAAAGGATTAGACTTTCCTTTAATAAATAGGAGGCTCTTATCAAGGGAAGACACTTAATAACCAAATTAAATTTATTTACAAGTGCTTCTTTTTAAAAAAATTAATGTTATGAAAAATAAGAATCGGGTCACGATTCCAATTCATCGATTTCGCACGACCAATTTGCAAATGCAGATTCAGGATACAATAACCAAAGAAATTGGGATAAATTAAAGTAATCATGGGGTTTTGAACCAGAATCATGACAGGTAATTCTGAGTCCGATGGACGATTTCACTGGTACCAATTGATCCATCATCTTTACTATTTCAGAATTTTCTGCGGCAAATGTCAAAACAAAATTTATGAAATTACTCGGCTAAAAGTGTATAGTCAAGATTTTTCTCTATTTATTTTTTTCTTTTTGCCTAGGTGAAGAAACAATAGTGAATTGAAACCACAAATGGGCTAGAAAATATGAAAACCTTAACGTTGCCATAAATTTCATAGTATTTAGGAATTAAGAGAAAAATATGTTTTTACTTTTGAAATATAAAGATAGTGTGATATATTTTTTATTTTAAACACAAGTCCAACTTTTTTATAGTGAATATTGCATTTTAATTTTATTCTTTTTTGTATAGCCAATTAAACTTGAATTTTGGACATCTATACTTCTCATTGTGACCGACTTGTAAAAAAAAAAGGAAAAAATACATTTAACTTAAATAAAAACAACCAAATGCCCCCTATAAATTTTAAAAATTTAGGATGCATTTTTTGTTATCTTAGAATATTTCTGGTACTTTTTTTTTATATGTTGAGAAGTATCAATTTCTCAAATTTGAGCTTAATTCGATATATGGAAAAGAAATAAAATTAAAATACATGTGCTCTCAAAAGGTGAGACTTTTATTTTGAGTAATTAAAAAGTAGGACTTAAGCATCACATATAAAACATATAGAAAGTCATTTTTAATATAACTAATAGAAATGGATTTTCTCATTAATTTTTTGGCCATTAAAATACCCTAAATTAGTTCCATAAGATCTATATACAATTTTACATTTGGGCATTAGAAATCCCTAGACGGCCCTCGTGGGGGAACCTATGAATGTGGCAACAAGTTGATGCTATAATTGTTGAAGTGTACTGTGCACCTTCATTAAAAACAAACAAGTTACTGTGCTCCTTCATTCAAAAAATAGAGAAAGCGTACTGTGCACCATTCATTTATGGTTTATGGTACACTAATAGAGCACCCATTGTCTAGTCCTCCGGCACATTTACGGATTAACCATATAAAAGTAAATGACTATAATTGGGAATTACAGTTAAATCTCTACGAACAAACAATGAAGGCCCCACTAGAGTACCAATAATTTATGGAAAGAGTTTATATGGAGCTAAGGATCTAAACAATCAAATTATAGGCCACCTCAAAAATTTCATGGCCCAAATATCCTCCGATTGATCATCTCAACATCAAGATACATGGACATGAGAAAAAAATAGATTTCAAGTTTTGAAATAGTGCATCTTGTAACGCAATTTTGGACTGTCAATTTTCAAGTTTTCATAGATATGATCGATCTACACTATTTTTTAAGCTTTAAATTTTATAATTAAAAATAAAAATATATATTAAAGTTATTACAAAGATTTTCGATATTAAAACTATATTTCTCAACACTATTTGAAAGTGTGCTTTATTTTGATCGTTTAGAGCCTCGGTTCTATACAAACCGAACCTCTAATTTATAACATTTTTTCATGTCTCTAGTAGGATAGGTTCGAACCTGCAACCCCCAACTCTGAAAGTTGCACCAGTGCTTTCTATTTTCCTTAGTAGGTTACGACATTTGAGCCGTAGGCTTCACCTGGGTTCATATAAACATATCTCCCATATTTCTTCCATAATTGTAATATTTAAAGGCCCAATTGACCTCTTCAAACTATAGTTATCAAGATTGGACTGAATCGGTTGGTCTGCTCCAAGGGAGAAATTGAGTTTGATAAAAAACTGATCAACATTAATGTTTGATCATTTTCGGCCAGTCAAACCAGTTGGTCTTAACTAGTTTGATAAGCTAAATGAAGTTGGATAAAGTTTTTAATATATTTTATATTTTATAACTATTATATCTATTTTTCTTTTCTTTTTTTTAAAATCCGGTCCAACTAGTTCAATCAGTGGTTGGACCAGTTTTGCTTAACCAAATCTTTTACTGGTTCGATGACCGGTCCGATCCTAATAACACTGATTCAAACTAGTGTTTTAAATTTTGGAAACGGCCCAGCTCAGAAGGGTCAATTTCCAATTCAAACATTCAACCCATCCAACTCAGGCAAATTTTTGAGCGGGATGGGGCTATGTTTAGCAAATAATTTAATAAAAAAAATCAGAGACTAAGAGATTAAGTTTCATAATCTTGACGATTCTGAATCGACTCGATCGATTCGACATTTATCTGACAACTAACAATTTTTCAATCATTGTCCCAGCTGCCCTAAATCCCTTAAAGTAGGTGAAACAACCCCAAATCCCTAACAAAAGTGAATAAGGTTTATTTACATGAGAGAGCCAATAAATGCATAGCATATATATATGTTTATATGTTATCCAATACATAGGCAAGGAGCGCATTGTCCATTTTTAGAAAGAAACATATTTCCACCTAAACCTTCAAACTCTCAGGTAAATTCCATATATATCTTTCATCTTCATTCTTTTTCTCAAGAAAACATATTACTGAATACCCATCTTCAAATTAAATTTCTCCACCCTCTCTATGAAACATACTGTAGATTCTCCATCGCGTATTGTACATCATACAACGTCATGTTTATGATACACCTCACACACAAAACATGAGATTCAAAATAGAAAAGAGAACCAATTTCTCTTAAAGAGTTGTGGAGAAAATCACCAATTTCACCATTTTATAGAAAATATTTTCTTAGGACTAAGGAAGGATGGAGAGGGGCTAAATTCATGATCTTATTTGGAGAGAGAGAGAGAGTGAGTGAGAGATAGTGAGATATACAGGAGAGGGTTAGAGTGAGAGAGAGGAACAAAGTAAGAGAACCTAAATTCATCAGGAGTGATTTACATATAGATCTTAAAAATTTTAGATAAAATATGAAATACTCTACTTATATGGGTAAATTATAAAGAAAGTCGATCAATTTATTTTTATTTTTTTTCAAAATTACTTTTTGATCAATCCAATTTTTTTCTGTTTTAGTTTTTTTTTTTTTCGTTAATAGGGAGGTGACTTAAAGCTTGGGGCACAGGTTATAAATGAAAAAGCTAAAAATAAATAAAATGAAAATTTAGATTGACCCATAAGTAAATTTTTTAAAAAAGAAAAAAAATAAATAAGCTGACCGACCTATTTATAAAATATTTCGTATTTTACGTAAAATTTTAAAATCTCTAGGTAAATCACTCTCTCTAGAGAGAGAGATGGAGGGTTAGAGAGAGAGGGGACAAAGTGAGATGGAGGGTAATAATGTCATAGTCCGAAACTAATCTTTCCGTTTAAGGGTAGAGGCGTAAATATCGTGCGCTATGGTTGTGGGTGGTGAGCCAGGCATGTGGGACCCACACGCGTAAAATGGTGGGACCACACTTGCGGCTCACGCAATGCTAACGCGCAGGCGCACCACACATGGCATCCAAGGCGCGCACACTCTGTAATCCATTCTTATACCACGTGTCACGATCACGCAGCGATGGTGGATCGAGTTGGCCACGTGGCGTACAAACAGATGCGGGTTTTTAAATCGTGCGCATTAATTTCTTGGGAGGACGGGATTCGCAGTCGTCGGCAGGTTGAAAAACAAAAGATGGATAAATAAATATGTGAAAAATAATCATGGAATGACAAAGGAGTCCTGGGTTAGATTAATTTAGCCCTGTATGGGTATTATTTTTCGGAAAATTTTGTGACTCTTCTAAAATTACAATTCAAGCATGGAAAGACTTTTACATCGATCATCTCAGCTCAGCTCAAATATTATGGTTAAAAAATTAGGATTTTAAGCTCTAAAAATAATATATATTATCACAAATTATCTAAACCAGCCATTTTGTCTTAAAAATAAGTGTCATATATCCGTAGGGTATGTACTATTTTTTAAGTTTAAAATTTTATTTGTCGGTGTTATAAATTAATTTTAGAGCCATCATAAATATTTCCGTTGCCGAAAGTGCTTCCCGGTAAGAGCTTGAGGTGAGGCTTTATTTTGTTTTCATAAAACATAATCCTTATACAAACTTCATCCTTATTTCCCTGGGTTTTTTTATTACAATAGCAGCTCATGCAGGCACGAGAGGCTTTTCTTTTTTTTGAAAATTTATCAAAATAACAGTTAGAGATGACCTATTATGTATTTTGTCTATTTGCAACCATTCCAACCCCAGACCATGGGTCTTTTATGGGTGTTTTGAACTGAGATAAAAGTAGAGCTAAACTGATGTTAAACAAACAAAATAAAAATAAAAATAGAAGTGTTAAATTATATATCTTTTATAGGTAATTTGATTTTTACTTTTTTAATGTTCGCTTGTAGTATCCATTTCCCAAACTCAATGTATAGAGAAATGTTTGGGCCATAAGGCCTCATATTAGGTACAAATTATGAAATAAATTGATTTACTCTCATCAATTTACTA